ACGATTGAAAAATAAAGAGAAAAGTGTGAAAAAACAAGAGAAAAGTTTAAAAAAAAAAGAAAAAATATACACCTGCATAAAAAAAGTATCGAATATTATATTTTCCTACATAAAAACAGATATGAAATAAATGCAATTAGCCAAGTATTTCATTACTTAAAGATCTCGGAAAAAATTATTTGTAATAAATAATGTTAATTCTAAGACAAGAGAAATTAGTCATCCATTTTAGAATTTTAGTAAACATTTTATTTTGTTCTTAATATGTAATTTTAAACATTAAAAGAAAGCTGCATAGTGCAAAAGGATGTCAATTTTAATTGTTATCAACTAATGTTTCTAAAATCAATCAAATTAAATCAGTATTTGAAAATAAAAGCCTAGTAATGCGAGCTTGCGTGCTTTTATTTCGTAATTTCTACCTCTCGTGAGATAGAAACATCACATGACACCATGACAGCTTTTCAGAAATATCCTTTCTCCTTGTATTGCGACATCGGTGTTCAAAGGACCGTACCCCCCCCCCCCCTCCAGTATTGGGCGCCGCGCGTTTAAGACGTTAAAAAGCACGTGTGTGCGACAGACAATTATGAGACCGGCTACGACTTAAGACCACATGAAGGATCACGCACCTCAGCCTGATACTCGGGCAAACGGGCCCCCTTTCACAATGGCTGACTTCGTAAGGCAAAAATCAGAAAGTTAGGCCCCCGATCCTGTGCTACATCTCAGCTGCGAACAGAGAGAGGGACCAGCGAGCGAGCGAGTTTCCGAGGGATGCGCAGCTGTCATGGAGAGTGCAGCGATTGGCCGCTACTATTAGTCGGCCATGCTGAATCTTTCCGGTCTTGCTTCTCCTCACAATGGTATTGAGGACTTGGAACAGGGTCAGTAACTTGGCTAAAGATCAGGGTCGTCCAATAATATCTAACGTCGCTTTCGTACCCGCGAGCGTTTCGTTATTCATTGTTCAGCTGACAACATGGTAAAGTTGGTAGGATCAACATCGATTAAGTTGTCCACAGATTTATCTCTTAGTAAATAAACTGAATTATTAAAACCGAAAAGAACATTTTGTTTTTTATGATTTATATTTTTTAATTGCGCGATACTGTGTATTTTAAATACATTTCAATACGATATGAAAATCTTTAATGCCTGGCGATATCCTTGACTGTTGCTGGTGACATGTGGAATATGCCGCGTGTGAGACGAGTGTGTCGTCGATTATAACAAATAGAAACGCGCGATGTGCCTCTGTTATTGAAATAAATCCCATCATAATCATTGCTAACACTTCTGAAGGGAATCTGGAATAAGCTAGTAGTAGCGGGAGAAAATGGTCAAGAGGTGGAGAGAGAAAGACAGAGGGTTCCCGGGGACTCATCCACGATTGTCGGCCGCGTGCCGCCACCCTAAGGATTAAGCGCAATTATTGGAATCACTCCGGTAGACCACAACCCGTTTCACACGCTTCTTGTGTCCTTTTGGACTATTATGAGAGCTTACTACGTTAAAAAAAATCATATTCTTTTAATATTTCAAAGTTATAGAACAAATATGCCGACATTCATATATAAAAGTAATGGTTCAATTGCGATTTACCTCTTGTCTAAATTAAAATACAATTTTGAACCACAATTGCATTTTTTTACAATTATGTTAACTCTAAAAAAATAAAAACTAAGTTGAAAGAATACTTACGTAAAAACATGTGACTTATATCGCAGAAATATTTTTTATCTGATTTTTACGTTTATAAAACAATATCGATATTTTAAACTATATGTGAAGTTTTACATTTAATTAGTATTTTTTTTAATTTGGTAATTGAAAAAATATATTTTATTATTTGAAAAAAAAAA